GACCGCCATGATTCCCCGATGATCAGGGCAGCAGCAACGGTGAAAAGAAACCCTTCTGCGAGTGCATTAGCACCATTTTCTATCGCACTTGATCAAACCAGAATTCAACATAGACCTTCGATATGAACTTATGAACGGATACACACCGTGTTTCCGAGAGTGGCCTGATGTGCTTTGCAGGTTCACCCATGATATTGGTGCGCAGCTTCACCTCTGTACGGTATAATAACTGGGCAAGGTTCACACAAAAATTGCGGAACGTCTCATGTCTATGTTACTTTTGTGATAAGAATTAGAAAAGATATGCTTTAAGCGAACGAACATACTGTTTTGCTTGAGCCTTGAGTTGCGAACTGATTGGTTTCGCTATAGTCTGTAAAACATCATTTAGGACTTGATTATAGAAAATGCGTCAAAGATCTCCTACACGGATGACTAGTGTGGCTAATTTGACTGAAGCCATTGTCGACTGCAAGCAACGTCAGTATGGGTTGGCGGCAAGGTGATCCAAAAGAGTCTGGTCACGACTTCGGAGATCGGCTCTCGGCATGTCCGCGTGGTCCCAAGTTGGCAATGCCGAGATGATTACGCGGCCGCCGTATGTAGCGCTTCCTCACTTAGTCCACTCGTACCCATTTCCCGACGGCAACAAAAACACAGAAAAGCTCTCTGTCGCTCGGGTCTTTCATGTATCATGGCCTGATAGGAAGAAACGCAAGGATGGCAATCGGGAGTCATGAACGAAGAGTTGCCTCGATCCCAAATATCAAGACAAAAATGTTGCAAATTGGCCAACGCAATGTTTTAAACTCGAACAGAGATGGCTCCGCTATTTGATCGTGACTCACGCCTCTGTTGCTCTCTACCGCCGGCCATGCTAGGAGTGCGAGGAGGCAGTAGTGGCATTCAAATACACGCGCACGTCGTGTAAATGACCAAACCGCCAGACAATTTTGAGGAAATATTACAAGCGATCAGGCATCGGTTTCTGTATGACTTTCACGACTGTATCGTCGTGTTATCTCTCAGGCTTCCCAATCCCGGAAACATCAAGTTCCCTCGGTGCTATGTTACTAAATCTTTTGAAATAGATTTCCATCAACAGATTTCCATTGCTTCTGTGATCCTGTCCATGACCCAGGTTCAATTAGTTCTTCTCCGCTCGATGATTGTGATGGTCAAGTTGAATTTGTCCAATAATGTGTGTGTTGTGTGATTCTTATAGTCATCCCTGTGTCGAAGACGATGCCTTCAGATAAATTTCTTGTGATGGTGGGCGCTCTAGTGAAACTTCGCGTTTCCGCCTACGATGTCTGTCAGTCTGGACGGACGTCAGCATCTTGGTTCTAGAAGGGCCCTGTGCGACTGACTGACTGTTGCTTCATAGTTCAAAGTCGCTCGGTCTGTCCTACAATGACCTTATGAACGACGTGGGGCGCGAAGTCTGACACTAGTTTGATGTTTCCGGCATTCCACCAAAGATTCAAATCCACCATGCTCTATCTTTCCATCATGAGCTATACGAAATCACTTGGTTCAGACAGGAGGTAAAAAGACTGTACACTAGCTTTAGCTTTACCTCAAGTCGCAAGCCGCAGCGATCGGTATTGTTACTGTCTAAGTTCCCCTGTACTCGGATTCTTGAAGCTCTCATGTCTCCAATCTCCTGTATGCACGATGAACAGATATATCAAAACTAGTCAATAACCTGTCATTGGTTTTGAAGATAGAGCTTTGGTATCGATATCTACTGCTTGTAGTTCGTTTTTGATTTAGTGACAGGGAAAGATCCCTTGAGCTGGATGTTCTACAACATATTCTCTAGTTAAACACAACAACCGCTTCGCTTTGGAAGTGACTTCGTGATCGTCCAGCCAAGAATAGACGGCCAATATTACGAATGGTCTTATGCGGTGTCATTATTATGCGACTTTATGCCTCCGTTTACAATTCCTCCTAGAAGATATGTGCATCTTTTCTCGACGATGAGCGCCCAAATCCTAGTTGTTTGATGGTGGTAGCTCTAGGGTTGTCACTCATTCGTTCCAACAACGGATTCCTGGACGACAATCAGCATTAATCCTGACAATTGCATCAAACGAACACTTGGAGGTGACCATTTCTGAACTCCTTGCACTTCTTTCCATCTCAAGATCAACGCAAACGAAGTTTGGGCTTACAATCCTCCAACTACTCCATTGGTCGCGTGCTCAAAGCGTACGTTCGAGATCTCATCCGGCCTTGGTGTTTCGAGGCCGACTATATCTACAGCATTTATGCACTCAAATGGTAGGTAGAAGAATTCGGCGAAGAGAGAAAGGTCCACTTCAACGAGGCTGTGACCCAATCTGAGCTTTCCTCAATGCCAACGAGCTTGGAGACAAGATCAAAACTATCACATCAGTGTAGACGAGCCATCCTCACCAACCTACTTATTCTACAGGCTGAGATTCTCTGCTGATATCAAAGACGGCGTTTTCCGCATATTTTTCAACTATCACAAGCTCGCTTACAACCAAGAGTAAACTCCGCGAACACTTTTTGAAGGTCGTCGAGGATGTCCCCCGCACAGGGTTCTCGATCGTCGCCAAGAATTCTATTGAAAAGCACTTTAACACTAAGATTGAGGACCTGACCACTGAGATTGGTGAAATCATTGCTCTTTCCGATGTTTTTCTTGACCCCAACTTCAAGAAGCTCTCAGATGTAAGAAGAAGAACCGATACAAATAGGCATCGAAAATCTGGACAGGAAAATCTGTCTTATTTCAGGTTAGTTTCTTGCTACAGCGACTTTTTGGATCACTGTTATTATAGCGGTGGGTTGAAATTCCAATTGGTACGCCAGGGCTTCAAATGTGATGAAATGCTTCAGGAAAGCCTTCAAGAGCTTGTTACTACCAAGACTTCCAGGTCCGCGTTGTCGATAGGACTAAAAACAACACCACCATTGAAACTGTCCTCGAGAACGGCACAGTTTATATCCATCTGTAGTTACTTTGATTGCTATTTCTCTTCTTGAATGTGACTTGAGATGACAAGGGGTGTTACAATTCCTCCGATGCCGGTTCAAACCTGGGCGATCTGCCACAAGAGTTTTTTTGAATCTTTCAACATCCAGCAGAGCTATATACCGATGATATGTGACTACAAATTTGGAATATAGCTATTAACAACAAGTATTGCTGTCAGAGGTGCAGATCCAGTTATGAGGGACCAGGTCTGTTTGAGCTACTTATGTAGTCAAGAATCGCTCGAGGGTCGTGAATCTAGGGAATAGTGTTCCGCCCTCTGAGTTCTAAGAAGGTACCATCGTTCAGATAGTTGTATGAAAATGGGTCTCACGGAGATCAAGTAGAGATTTGAAGCTGTTTTGACAACTCAGGAAAACCTAGATGATTATGAGGCCGTGGTGTTTTGGGTAGCACACATAACGTATGGCAGCGATCAAATCGTCTAGGTTGTGAGATTTCTCCCAACGAGCAGCGCAAGACTTGAACGGAGATGCCCAGTCCAGGAAGAGCCTTAGAAAAGTATAGTTGTACCAGAGGTTTGGAAAGCAGTCCCTCGAGCATATCTAGACAGACACAATCCTCTTTGAGTTACTTTACAGTCCATTAGTAACGTACGGTTTGTTGACATTGCCAACAACAATAATGTACGCACCTAGTCTAAGTGTGGCATTCGTGGCCCTTGACTAGGAGGAGCTTCAGATTTTTTTGCAACGCCAGTCATCTCTTTCGTTCTGTTTGCTGTATAGAGATGAATAAGGAAATCAGGTTGCAGCACTATTGAGAGTGCCAGTGAATTAAGATAAACAAGAGGAAGTCAAACCTAGTAACAACGCGTTGACCTTGCGGGCGATGGATGACAAATCAAATAATTCACACGGCATTTCTTCACTAGACCCACTTTCTTCTTTTTAGACTCCTGTTAATGGCTACACGTGGCAATGGCTCTTTCCCTACAATAACGATTGATTTGGTGCATAAACTTGAATGAATCGAGAGTCTGCCTAACCGGGCGATGCTATCTTAGGTTTTGGACCGGCTCACAACGAAAGATGTCTTAAGAGGCATGCTGCACTCCGTCCTATTCCATCGGCTATTTGGGACCGTCAAACCGCAAACCTTCGAGGTTCTGGATGTAACTATGGTGTGCTCCAATTCGACCTCCCACAGGCACAATCTAATGGAATATCAGCCTGGCGTTTCGGATGTAGAAATGGAACAGCTTGTAAACGATAAAGTTGATGCGTTCTGGAGAGGAATCGAAGGAGGTGCAAGCAGAAGTGGCCAGGTCCCATTATTACCCCAGCCAACCTCGTGTCGTGCTCATCATCCCCAGATAAAAATCACATTTTCCGAGAAGCGTCCGAAAAAATCATGGTTTCAAGTATACGTGGGGGAAGAGGACGTGCCTTGGGAACAGTGGTGTGTACTCCACAAGGAAATACAGACATTTCCCTCTTACTCTGCACTTAGGATTATCAATGCTGAACTACGGCAGCCCATAGGAGGCTAGCTTGTCCTCAGCTTCATTCCAGAACGTAACGCCTTACTACTTTTATTTTAGATCGGCAAGCCTTCAATGCAAAACTTGCAGACACGCTATCACAGGCTGTATTCACGATGCTTACTCATACCTCATCGGAGCGAGGACGTGCGGCTGTACCTCTAATAACAAACGCTTCTGGCATTTCGCCATTCCCTATTGATATATCTGTAACAGTTGGCGGAATAGAAATGAGATAATGTGGACATTCCAGTGTTTAATGGACTAGGTTCATCGTATCATGAACTTCCACAACATCGAAGTTATCGTGTACTATAATGAAATTATCCTAAGCAGCATTCGACGGAGGATTTCTGCTTTGTATATGCTATGGACACAGTGAGTTCTGAAGTGTCGAATTTTCAAATTGAGAAGCAAAAGGTCAACAGCACCGTCGCACAAGGTTTTTGCTTTTAAAAAGTAGACATATAGAACAGGGAACTGGTATGACCGAGACAGGGGTCGAACCTGCAATCTCCTGATTTGAACCCAAGGATTTCGTAGTCAGACGCGATGCCATTTCGCCACACGGCCCATATTAGGTAAACATGCCAACTAGAGGTAACTCACTCCAGTTGCTTTTATGACGAATGACAATTGCGCCAAATGCCATACCAGCTCTGAACAATGGCGCTAGCCAGTTACCCACCGATGCTTGTACACAGCACTACAAAAAGCGGAATCTGATGGACGCTTTTACCTGCAATCTTGAATAACCCCCCAAGCTTCAAGTAAGTAGTACTATCTGGTGTATGAGTACCTTTATTTGTTTCTTGAACCTCTCGATTGCACTTTCTCTCCCTAAATATTTAGCTCACGTTGAATTCTGAGATTAGATTGACCATAACATGATACATAAATGTTTCAATCAACAATGAGTTTGAACTGTTCTTCACTAAAATTGCTCGCCAAATCCTTGAGGAGATGCAACTCATGATATTGCTCCTTCGACATGGCCCGCATTCCCCGCTTCACCATCACCGGCGGTAAACTCATCCTCAGTTCCTTCAACGTCAAATCACGGATACGAGACTTAACCATGTTCACCATATACTCATTTGATACAAAACACTCTGGCAGAACAAGCTTACGAAGGTTTGGCATGACATGTTTCTCTTCCGTAATCGTCAAAGCGGACATGATGCCGTTACCGACTGGGCGCACGTAGAGTTGGAGATGACGAAGCTCAGGGAAAGGGTGGGATACGAGTTTGAGGATCTCGATCTTTTTCATTTGAGGATCGAATAGAGATAAAGACTCGAGAGGTGGCTGTGAGCGTTGGAGGAAGGAGATGATTCCATCGGTTGAACATTGGAATGAAGCCTCGGGATAATGAATGATCTCGAGTGAGCATAGACTCGGTGCAGTAAGATGGTTTAGGAGAGGTGCACTATCGCTTGCGTGAGCTTCAATCTTGAGATGGCAGAGTCGAGGAACTTCTACGGGCCCACTTATGGCAGTCATTACATTGTCGCCCTCCACGTGCAGGAAATCAGTAAAGTCTCTATAGACAGTATCTTTATTGCGGACTGCTCTTAAATGACGGAGGGCATCAGCTTTCTGTTCGGCGCTGTGTATATTCGTGGTTGAAGGGGTGTCCTCGGTTGGCAAGATTATAGCGATTTCCAGGCTGACGAGATTCTCGCAATAGAGAAGTGCCATCTTGAGACCGGCTATAACGTAAGTCGAAGAGACCTTCCGGGTGAACAGAGGGAGCTTGAGATGGGTAAGCAGCTCCCATGGCATCAGATAGGGGAGCGTTGGCCGCTTAATGAAAGTGGGTCGCCAGGAGACCTTCTGGATTCTTGGTTCACGCTGGCATATCGAACGCCAGATAGGGGACGGATCGCTGAGTCCTCCGAAGTCAAGCTCCACAGAACGTAAGTGAGGCGCATCCAAGGTAAGCATCGGTATGTTGAAAAGAGGAAAGTCACTGGCGAGCTTGATAGTCAGATGTTTCATTCGCGTTGTGTTGGAAGGGGCCATAAATAGACTTAAAATCGAATAAATTGCTGATTGATCACATCCTTCATCAAAGGGAGCATGAAGGTAAAGGGAAATAAGGGAACTCTTTTTTGTCTTTTCAAAGTACTCCTGTGATGCAGAACGCAACAACCAGGAGGCGATCATAGGAATTTGTTTACTTCTGGGCTTGTAGACAGCTAGTGATGTCCAAAGTGATGGCGTATAATAAAATTTTCTCCATCGTTTGCACACAAGGAAGAGGGTTAGGGGGCTGGAAAGAAAAGATAGATTCGCAGTCAGAGTCGGCCCGCGATGGGTACGGTAAATTTCAAAGTTATCCTCTTCGTCATGGTACAGGTAGTGTTCAAAGACCGCGAGCAACAAATGATCTGGTAGGTTGTCCAGGAAGCACGTTAATGGTTGCTTGACGATTTCTCGTGGAGGTTGGAATTCTAGGACTTCGGGATGTAACTGGTGCCAGGGTAAGGGTTCTTCTTCGGAAAATTCCTCTATGATATTCATAAATATTCTTGTTGCTGTCTACGATGTAAGTAGGAATGCAGGGTTTGACTAGAATAGAAAACATGCCTTTTTCAACAACCTGCTGTAAAACTGAAGTTGCTGGTGTTTGCGCTTCATCGTGTGATGCTTGCATTTCTAGTACGAGTGAGTGTCAAGAACACTGGGGATAAGGTCATGTATATATATATATATTTGAACAATCACAAAGAACATAACAGATAATAAGCTGCTTGACGACGGAGGACAATAAGGAATCCAAACGTTTACCAATTGTTGACGTCTAAGTACCAGATGTTAACGTTGTGCAATTGTTCATTTCAACGCTAAGGCCGTCAACAAGCCTTAGCGACCGAAGTTGCTGGTTTCGAGTATATACGAATTTTTGGACGATTACAGTCACTGCACGTGACACTTTTCGATCAATGACGTGTTGCCAATTGTTATATGCACTTTTGACCGAACGCTAGCTGGCAATTATAAGTACCAGCTCATTGGTAACAATGTCTGTGGATTCTGACGACGTTTGTATAAATATTTCAAACGATCCAGACCTCTACTTTGCCGACGGAAACCTTGTGATTCTTACCCGAGACCATGGAGGCAACCATACATACTTTCGTGTCCACCAGTCCATCCTCTCAAAACACTCAAAAGCACTGAGTGACCACATCTTCCCCGACTCATCACCGTCACAACGTGAAATTTATGATGGTGTACCACTTGTTGAATTCCAAGAAGATCCTCGCGACCTAAACATATTTCTGAAGTTCCTCTACGAGCCATTGTAAGTGCCCAACCAGCTCGAATAAGATGACAGACTTCATCTCTGAAACAGAACTGACTAGTTATGTATTTAGCGCAGCCCCAATACAAAAAGGAGACCCTGACATAGCCTTTAAGATGTACGGGGCACTGAGGCTTGCTGACCGGTTTTCTATTGACCCTCTGAAGGAGACCATCCTATCCTATATTCGCGAGGACTGGCCTCAGACATTGCAAGCCTGGGATGAACGCGAAGCTTTCTACTCACGTCGTCTCAAAAGCTCTCCAGGGTCAACCATGGACGATGTCGCCCCCGAACCAGCCTCCGTCATCCGGCTTGCACGAAAGTTCGAACCGCAAGTACTGACACTGGCCTTCTATCATCTTTCACGTCTACCAGTCAACGCAACATACGGTCAACATAATCAAGCTCCGCGCCATGCTCGTGGCGTGCGTGGATACCTATTATCCCCAGCGGACCGCGAAAAAGTCGCATTGGGCCGCGAGCGTATGCTGCGGTGGACTTCCGATCGCCTGGAGTCGTTAGCCCTTGACACGTGGCAGTGCAGAGCAGAGGGAGGGTGCCAACCGCATATCTACTGGCGTGTCGTGGTTCTGCATCGCTCTATTATGCGAAACATGGATGTTCTGACTACGCTGCGAACGATGCGAAGCCATAAACAGGAGAGAGGGACGAGCGATGTAGTGGAAGATGCGGTATGCCAGCACTGCAATACAAGATGGGACACGATACTTAACGAAACGCGTCGCGACTTTTTCGATTCTCTATCCTCTTTCTTCCCGGACTTGTAATTTATAGATTGGATCTGACTGGATATTTCAATACATCGGTCTATCTGGGGTCATCTAGGGCCTTCTAGGATGCGTTTTTAACATGTGTCCATTCTCGTATAAAACTCGCAATTCTCCTTGGCACCGCTGTCGTAAGCTGTGCTTTTCGGCTTCAGTACAGAGAGGTGTAGAATCGTTTTACATTGACGCAAGGTTCATTCCACGAAGGTCGTTTCCGAGTCTTTTGTGATCAGCTCCTTTGATTTTCTTCTCTCCAGTGAGCAACACGGTTTGTTCCAAAGCTACCAGAACGTCCGCAGTGGTCCGTGGTCGCCTTTAGAATTTTAGCAACCGTGTATCTATTACTCTCAAAAGCCGCAATGATCTACTCCTCCAAGGATGCTAGAAACGGAATGCATATCTCCAATATCTTTATTTTCATGTTCATTTTGCTCCATAGGGATCTTGCATCAGAGAAATAGGGACTTACGCACCAAGAGCCTTGCATGTAACGTTTGAGATCTCAGTTACTGCGATCAATAAAGCATCTTCGAGAACGACGCTCCCTTAAATCCTTATTTTTGCCATCACTAACGTTCATCGTAGTGTCTACCAATTTGGGGTAATCTTGCTAGTCAAGAGCCATACTTGGTTTAACCATGGACGTTCACATGGTGTAAGTGATTTCAAATTAGCGGTCGAATCGGCGCTTAGCACTTATTTGAGTGCCTGCCCCGACTGTCATATGCACATCAGATCTAAGAATACAATTACATCACAGATAAGAACTATATCGACGGATGTGACTGCGGAATGGCTGTACCATGGTCATTCCAGTAGCGTTCGATGTCGTGTGTTCTGACTACACGACGGCACAAAGTCTGAGATAAATCAGTTTGCAAAGTTTTTAGGTCACAGGCCTTTCTAGGTTTGAACGTATCCGCATTAGGAATTTCCTCTCATAAAAAATTCTGGTTAGCATCCCGTTCAGAGCCTACTAAGCGTTGCATCACTCATCTTAGGTATAGCTCCGGTCAAGAAAATATATGCTGACGCCCGTCAGAATAAGGTTGTATTTCAGGAGCATCGCCTCCTGAAAATCACACTGTCTTGCTGTCGAACTGAAGTGTCTCTGCTGTGCAATGATGAGCGGCCTGATTACTATATATTTCCAGGAGTCCCTGAATCTGGAGCATTCTCAGTTCTTCCAGACCCCTAGAAGTTTCCGTACCCATCATGTCTACCAAGATCAACTATGCCAAGATACTTGGTGTAGAATCTGTAGCTCCAGCAGCCGTCTTTGCAGTAGCATACTTCCCTTTGTTTGTATGGTTCGTACGCCAGTCTATCGGGCGGCCAACTTATGTGTTCATCGTCTTATCATTCTTCTGCTGCAGTAAGCCAACTAGAAATCTGTTGTTTTTATGCCGAGGTTGATCGAAGCATACGTAGTACGCATCGCTGCTTTTACCATTCGTGCCGTCCTAGCTGGA